TATTCAAACTTTTAACATTGTACTTGCTACAGAAAAGGCATTTAATAATTTTTTTTTAATAAACAAGAGAAATAACATGTCCTGTGTATTTAGGAATCATTTCATATAGAAAAGCAAAAATTGGCTTTTATTTATTTAGGTTCCCGGTTCCAAAACCAACAAATTTATTATTAACCAAATGGCTACAAGATCATATGAATGGCACAAGATCATGTAAAAAATAGAAAACCAGATGAGAAAATGTCTTAGACTGTAGAGCATATGAACGCATGTCAGAGTTGGGTGCTGAAAGCAGTGGATGTGCTGATTATTCTCTACTGAAGCTGGTATGTAGTAGTTTGGAGGGGGAAATTTTAGGACTTTGTCAAAGGGGGAAACCAAATAGAAGAGTAAAGGGAAATATTTTTCTTCTATTCACTCTTCCAGGGCTGTCCCCCCAAATTCAGATTTGGGGAGAATACTTAATCTCAAGAGTCTTAAGACCCTTTTAATTCAACTAGATTGATAGGTAAAATACATACTTCTATGGCAATCTATTGGGCAAGATGTAATTTAACAGCAATGCTCATTCATTACAGATTCTAGGGTGATGTTCGATGGTTTCCAAATAGGAAGTATTATGCCATATTGCAGAATGGCCAATGTTTTCATTGAGATCCTAAGCAGCAAGTCATTCTTCCCATCAAAAGGTATTTAAGATGCTCCTCCTATGGCTGAAATACAAAAAGCTCATTAGTCCAGAAAGGGCACACACACACACACACACCCCCAAAACAACATGCCACTGACATAGAGGACTCAGACTAGAGAGATAGGGACCTATAACGTCACAGAGCCATTCTAAATGATTAGTAGTAAGGCAGGTGGCTAGCACAGAAAGGCTTCAATGGAAATTGGCCATTAGACTTTTTACTTAAAGATTGTACTTGAGCTAGTAAAACATAGACAAATAATAAAGAATTTGGTAAAGGCTCCAAAAAAGTGGACATGCAAAAAAGACAGCACAAGGCAACACAATGTGGGGGCACAGAGGAGGGTCCCCAGGTTGTGAAATCAAAACACCACTTGAATTTGATCTGTTTCCTAGATCAACCCGATTAGGATTGTTACTAGTTCTACAGACAGGATGATCTGAAGGTTGATATAGTCCTCATATATCTTTTAGAATTTATTGTACCTATATGTACATATGTGTATGTATGTATATAATATGTACATGTAATACTTACACATACATCTACTTATGTAAAATGAACTGCACATAATTCTCTTTATGGAGTAGGCATTTATTAATTTTTACAGATACTGTTGTTTCGTTAGAAAAATTCCAAGTTTAAAACCCTATTTATAGATCATGTCTGTGTATTTTCTCCCATTATTTATTACTGTATATATCCATCTATGTGTCTTCAAGTCAAACGAGCCCTATTTGTCATGACAATAAATACTCTGACATCCAGAGTAGACAAAATTAGTTGTGTATTATTCCTCACTGAGTTCTGACGTATTGAAAAATTCTGATTGATTATGCTACACCATACACTATCTCAAGGATAAAGTCATGATAAATGGTAGTATTAGGGGAATGTGGCGAGGATTGCAGACCTGAGTACTAACAGATTTTGGAGGAACTGATGTCCACCTAACGCCCTCTTACAGACTAATATATCTTCCAATCTGTTGACTCTACGTGGGATGTACCTGACATACTTCAGCATAAAGAGGTAGAAAAAACATGAGTTTTGGGACCCAACAAGGAGAATTCAATCCCTATTCTACCTTTATGGGCAAACGATTAATCTTCCTGAATGTCAGTTCATCATTCTAATAGATATGACAGTTCATGATTCTAATAGAGAATTCAGGGCTGTTTGATGTTCAAATGTAATCATTTGTACACAGAGAAGAAACAGTAAGTGCCTAATGCATTTTAAGGTAATTTAGTCAATAAGTGAACTAAAACCATGTTGTTCTACAATTAATTCTGAATTCAAAGCAGCCATGAATGCAGTTCAAATTGCTTAATCCAACATATCTTAGATCCTTTTTTTCCATGTGAAAGTATAGAAGGGAGGTTGTCTTTGATCTTTTTTCCTGAAATTTCTTATTTTGCAGCCCTTGAATGAAAAATACCAGGTTCATTAAAACATTTAGGGTTTTGTCATTGTTTATATTGAGTTCTTATTTTAATTTCTAATATTTACAGATGCTTATACCTCTGAATATTTATTTCTCAAGTTTTATCATACCCTCAAGAAACAGTACCCTCCTCTCTCTTCTTAAACAGTTTATTTCTAACCCGCTGTTTCAACGGTTTCAGTTTATCAAGGTCTGTTTTCTCAGGCACTTTCTTATGGATAGTATGAATTTGGGCGTCTGTCTCCCTGTGGTAAGGTTTCAGTTTGGTTAGGTGGCAAAATCATTGGCAGTTGTTACTTTTTTTTTTTTTTTTTTTTTGAGACGGAGTCTTACTCTGTCACCAGACTGGAGTGCAGTGGCTCAATCTCGGCTCACTGCAACCTCCACCTCCCGGGTTCAAGTGATTCCCTTGCCTCAGCCTCCCGAGTAGCTGGGACTATAGGCGTGTGCCACCTGACCTGGCTAATTTTTTGTATTTTAGTAGAGACGGGGTTTCACCGTGTTGGCCAGGGCGGCTGTTACTTTTTAAAATATCCCCCAAATCTCCTGGTACAGTAGTGGGCAGATAGTAAATGACATGGATTTACTTGCCGGATTTAATTGAAAAAAAAAAAAAAAAAAAAACCCAAAAAACAAAAAACTTCATGCTTAAGTATCTGAGCAAGGGACGGACCACAAACCCGAAGCTTGAGTTTGGTGCTCATTTACCTCTTGTCAAATCCTGCGATATATCATGCAATCCTGATAACTTACACCAAAATCGTGCCAACTGTGACTCATTGCTCTAGAATTTCAGAAAGTCTTCCCTACTGTAACCTGCCTAAACTTGAAGTTTCCTCATTTCCAAATCGTATTTCATGAAAAGAGGCCCTAGAATGTAGTCTTCTTGAGGTAAGTACGTCATCTTTCTTAAGATACTGTCATAAGGTTAAAATAATAAGGATATCCCAGAGCCTAACCGTGGTTAAAGACGGAAGGAGGAATTGGATTTTATTTAGAACAGTTTCTCATGTGAATAAATGTTTACCTAAGGTAGTAAGCCAGGGAAGTTCCCTCAAAAATTTGGAGAGGAGACAGGAAAAGGGGCAGATCAGAAAAACAGGAAGGACATAATTTAACTTCCAATATTAAGTTCTGTGCTTGTGTGTATGAATTCCAGACCTGATGCAAGTGCACAGGTTATAGGATCAAAGCATCCGTCTTTTTCTAGAGTAAGTTTATTATTCATCCCTGCATTGCAGCATCTAAGTACAGAGCTACAAAAACATTTGTTGTGTTGAAAAATCATTTTTGTATGACTAGTCTCTTAAGAAGTAGTTTATTGATCAAGGTAAAATAGGGCCCAAATTAAAATTTTGACAGTTCAGAGAGAAATAGTGCTAATAATATTGCAAATAGTACAGTACTAAGACAAAATGGTTGGAATACAAAGCAGTATCTGTGGGCTTCAGTTTTCACTCCATCTTTAACTAGTCAGTAGTGATTTGAGACACTACTCACACTCTATTGTCCTTAGTTTCCTTTTTTTTTTGTAAATGAGGATGTTAAATCTCTGGACTTTTTTCTAATTTATAAATCGTCAGTTCTCCCTTAGATTAAAAAATAGGTTTTCCAAAATACTTTCATTCTACTTCTGTTTGTTTAAGTAAACTTTAGGTGAATTATATCTTGTGGGAAAGATAAAGAATGCTCATTCTTTTCTGGGATTTAATAATTGAATTAACCTTCACTACATCTCTAAAGAGGGTAGAGAAGAGATAATCTAACATTTAAGGAACGCATAAACTTTTCACCTTCATTTCATTTTCCACAAAAGCATTATAAAGTGAAAATATTCTCCAATTTACAGTTAAGGAAACTGAAACTCAGAGAACTCAAGTAACATGCCTAAAGCCACAGAGCAGGTAGGAACTGGGCAGTGCCAGCCTCTGCTCTTGAGGTCTATATGATTTAAAAGCTTGTGTGGGCCGGGCGCGGGCCGGGCGCGGTGGCTCAAGCCTGTAACCCCAGCAATTTGGGAGGCCGAGACGGGCGGATCACGAGGTCAGGAGATCGAGACCATCCTGGCTAACACGGTGAAACCCCATCTCTACAAAAAAATATAAAAACCTAGCCGGGTGAGGTGGCGGGCGCCTGTAGTCCCAGCTACTGGGGAGGCTGAGAAAGGAGAATGGTGTAAACCCGGGAGGCGGAGCTTGCAGTGAGCTGAGATCCCGCCACTGCACTCCAGCCTGGGCAACACAGGGAGACTCCGTCTCAAAAAAAAAAAAAAAAAAAAAAAAAAAAAGCCTGTGTGACTGAGGTCCATAGAACCAGGAGACTTCCTCAATTTTGTAGTAAATCCATATTTTTGGGCCCAGGAAGAAAACCCAAGGTTTTTTGTTTGTTTGTTTGTTTTTGGAATAGAGTATAAGCTCAGGCTGAGGGCAGGATGCAGGAAAATATCCTTCTGTAAAATAACTTTTTATGCCAGAACTAGATTATCAGAGTTTAAAAATGATGAAAAATAAAATTGAGCTTGTTGTATTTACAATTTTTTATTAAATTCTTATAACACACTTAATATTTTCTAGAGACTATCTCAGAATGAATGTACTCCATACACTAGAAATTGATGAAACATTTTTATGAGTATAGATTTTATTTTTCCAGATTACTGAGGTATAATTGACAAATAAAAATTGTATATATTTAAGGTATACAAGATGCTGACTTGATTGAAACTCTGTTTTTTCAAAACTACAGATCCTAGCCTCTCCAGCTTCCTAACACTGCCGCTCATGTACATGATATCGGGAGTATGATGGGGTCTTAATCTCAAACTTTATTTCTTCTTATAAAAAGTAATTTTCTTATCTAGAAATAATATGGAATACTATCTTAGATGGGAGTACACCACTTTATTCTCCCAAGGCTCCTCTACACACGCACTGTACTGCCTTTTGATTTAGGAGAGAAATTTTTTCCCTCTGAACTTCCCTTGTGCTTTTTTTTCTATGTTCTGAGTTTGTGTTGACTTTCAGCCTTCCGTTCCTTTTGTTGTATTTGACCTGGTGCCAAATGAAAGTCAGCACTTAAGTTATGAGTATCATTTTCTAACACAGTGACAGAAGGAAAACTCCGCCTTCCACACCCACTACTAATTACCATACTGCTACAAAACATGACATTGCATCCTTCACCCATCACTTGTGAATTTTTGTTTTCCACAGCTCTTATTTCTCCAAAAATGTGTTTGAGCCACTTGGAAAATATGCCTTTAAGTCATTCAAGAACTCAAGGAGCTCAGAGATCATCCTGGAAGCTGTGGCTCTTTTGCTCCATAGCTATATTCCTTTTTCTTTGCTCCTTCAGTTGGCTAATCTTTATTTTTCTCCAACTAGAGGTAAGGAGGCAATTGTACCTAAGATTGCTATTTGCTATAATCCTCTATTTGTTTTTCTAGTTATTATCATTGTCACTCAGTATTGTTAGCAATAGTTGGAAGGAAGAGATGCGTATACATAATGTAAATACAATTCTAATATTGTCATGACATGGCCTTTGAAGTTTAGCTAAAGGTTTTGAGATAAAAGGTATCAGAAAATGATAATGTTAGATGCAGAACTCAGTTAGATAGAATTGGTTAAGCCAATTGACAGGGGCCCGTGGAGTATTTTTCTCTCCCTCTTCTATAGCTCTTGGTAGAATAAAAAAGGTAAAAATATGAATGAATATCAAGGAATGGGATGCAAGCTATAGTCTTATTTATGGAAAAGACTTAAAAAAATAGTGAAAGATGGGATTAAGTAAATGACAGGTGGTTTGTGTGTCTTTGAGGAGGGAAGTGGCCCTGAGCTAGGCGTAAGAATATCTGGATTCTGGTTCTGGGTCTCCCTAATAACCAGCTGTATAAATTTGATAAAGACATTTAATCTCTCTAGTTTGCAGATTCTTTATCTAAAAAAAAAAAACTGGTGGTAGGAGAATGGATTTATTATGATGTTTCTTCTAGCTATAAAATGCAGTGATTAAGAATTTATTTAGGGATAGTATGAAGAATAAATGCCTAAGCCATTCAAAAGCAGGGAACAATGACTTTAGGTTGAGTTGATCAGGGGAGACTTCATGGAGGAAGGAGAAAGCCCATATCTATTTGGGAAGCCCCTGATGCTTGTCAGGAATTTCCCATTGAGATGCAGGCCAAGTTGTGAGCCTAGAGAATGGGATGGTACACTGGGAATGGAGATAAGTTTGGTTCTTTACTAAAAAAGCTTTCCTCACAGTTGACCATATAGCACTGACCAAAAAGAAAATAAGAAATGCTTTATTTATTTCAGGATTTAGCCTATTTCTGGTTAAATTGTAAGACTCGAAGTTTTGGGTAGAATAAAGTGGTATATGTCCATCTTGAGAAAGGGTTGAAATGTAACTGCAAAAACACTTTTCTTAAGGGAACTGATCAGCGAAGATTTCAAAGATATAGTTCTACCACTTAAGATAAGTAAAAGTAATTGAGAAAAGATGCAGGAGGAAGCAGTCTCCTATGGATATTAATTTCGAGTAGGTATAGCTTTGGCCAATTTTTCCACAGTAGCCCATTAATTTGTATTTCATAACTGTATACGAGGCTTATGTGCAACAGAGGCATTTCTAATTACAACCCTGCTCTCTCAAGAAATGTATCAAGCAGAAGTGTGAACTTTCTGGGTCAGTGAAGCTGCAAGAAATAATTGTCAGAAATTCTTAGTGTCTAGATTTCTGAAGAAGAGGAAGGGTGAGAATAGCAATAACTTAAATTTGGAAGTGCTTCTTTCTTCTAAAAATTATAAGATTAATTAGCCTGATAACCCTGAAGAACACTGAATATAAGTACCATCAGTTCCTACATATGACTTGGGAATGAATGCACAGATGCCTTTCCCAAAGGCACCCAGTAGTTCTTGCAAAGGAAAAGAGAAAGTCTAATAATGCCAGATCATCTAGGACACCTCTGTTCAGAATCAAACTGGATTAGTCCCAGGTGTTTGAACTCTGATTCTGTTTTTTCTCTCCTAGATCCAGTTTCTCAGTGAAAGGTTCTGCCTCTAAAGATAACCCAGAGTTTGTTCCAAATTTAGGGAAGTATAAAATGTTTTTAGAATATTGTTCTGACAGGAAACTTGCAGAATTTGTTTCTATGGGAAAAGCCAGTGGCCTGGCCCACCATGCATGATATTAGCTTCTACATTTCACTTTTCACTTACCTGTACTTCCCTTTCCCTGTGGACCACAAATAAATATCTCTGGAAGAGAGGTCTGAAGGGCTGGCAGATAGTGAGTCACTATGATGTGGCCACTTCCACATTCTCACAATACCCATGAACCTTGAAGTTTTATTTTGGTCTCCACTCTAGTTTTTTTTTTTTTTTTTTTGAGACGGAGTCTCGCTCTGTCGCCCAGGCTGGAGTGCAGTGGCCGGATCTCAGCTCACTGCAAGCTCCGCCTCCCGGGTTTACGCCATTCTCCTGCCTCAGCCTCCCGAGTAGCTGGGACTACAGGCGCCCGCCACCTCGCCCAGCTAGTTTTTTTGTATTTTTTTAGTAGAGACGGGGTTTCACCGTATTAGCCAGGATAGTCTCGATCTCCTGACCTCGTGATCCGCCCGTCTCGGCCTCCCAAAGTGCTGGGATTACAGGCTTGAGCCACCGTGCCCGGCCTCCACTCTAGTTTTTATACACAAAGTCCCACTTTCCAGATTGTCTAGACACTACTTTAAAAAGTGTACACTTAAAAAAAAAGTGTAATACTTTAAAAAGTGTTAGATGGGAAGCTTGGCTACTTGGGTCAATTTTTTTCTTTTTTTCTCTCTTCTTTGAGAAAATATTTAACTAAAAGGATAGCTGTGAGTCCAAGGAGTTTGGTCAATCCCTCAGTGAAAATTATCTCACAGGAGTTATCACTAAGAAATCAAGTGTTCAGCAGAGTCTCCCGCTTCAATAAAATGAAGGATACTTTCAGAAGGGGAAGTTGTACTTGTACTTAAAAGCAGAGCAGATTTTAATTTCACTGAGGATTTGATTAGGGTTGATTTGGAGAGAGAATAATTGTTTTGGCCATTTTGAGCCCAACTATGTAAATCTAACCTTAAATCAAGATGAGGTTGCAAAAGCAACTGATCCTTCTAGAAAAAATAACTAAGCCATATGTGTCTTTAAAAGTGGGTATTTACTACTTCCAAACATCAGTAGAATTATAAATAAAAACTTCTCCCACAGAGTGGTAAGGGTGAGAGTTTTGACCCAGACAGGCTGGGTGTGGATCTCATTCTTGCCTTTCATTGGCTGCATGACCTTGGGCTAGTTACTTAATGCCTCTCATCCTCATTTCCTCATCTGCAAAATGAGCAAGCTAGTTTGTATAGGGTTGTGGTAAGGATTAATGAGACAGTAGAGTATCTGACATATAGTAGGCTCCCAGTAGATGGTAGTGATTAATATTTGCCCCATTACTATTAATGAGATAATAACGGGCAAACATTTAACAAGATCGTTTAACAATATGGATATTCTTTGCTTACCTATATCACTCTCTCAATCAAAGACACTATCTCATAGACAAATTGATGATTTTGCAATTAGATGGATTTTTAGTGGTGGCAATAATTAGAGAGTATCACAGTGATGGTCTCTGTAGCACTAAATAGACATTAAACAGCCTGCAGTATATTATCCAGAATTTCTGACTCTGGAAATTAGTTTGGCCTTAGGTTGTCTACGGCATTAGGTTTCTCTGAACACATCTCATACATGCTAGTAGATGGTGCAGATACTATCTGTGGCATGTATTTTGGCACTCATTCATATTTAGATTGTTACCAAATTGCTTTGGGTGTGTAATCATGTCTTTCTAGAAAGATTATAAACTTCTTGAGAGGCAAGAACCAAAAATCACATTTGTTTCTCGTGCTTACGATGCTGTATAATGTTGGGAATATGTGTGCTTAAATTGTAGTTCAATTCTTCATTACAGTCACCATCATCACTCAAACAACTAATATTTATTGAACAGGTCCAGGCAGGATATCTCGGCAAAGCCCTTCTTTAAAACGACCTCATTTAACCCCAACAACTTCAACAAGCTAGGTGCTATTATTTCTCCCATTTTACAGATGAGGAAATTGGGGTTCAGGGAGTCTTTGTCATGTCCCTATCATGTGTTGAACTAAATTGAATTTCAACATCTCTTCCGGGAAACACCAAAATAAGGATGAAATAATTGCAAGAGGTCAGGCACAGTGGCTCAAGCCTATAATCCCAGCACTTTGGGAGGCTGAAGCGGGTAGATTGCTTGAGCCCAAGAGTTTGAGACCAGCCTGGGCAACATGGCAAAACCCTGTCTCTACAAAAATATACAAAAAAAAAAATAGCTGGGCATGGTGGCATGCACCTGTAGTCCCAGCTACTCAGGAGGCTGACATGGGAGAATTGGTTGAGTCCAGGAGGATGAGGCTGTAGTGAGCTGAGATCACACCACTGCACTCCAGCCTGGGCAGTAGAATGAGACCTTGTCTCAAAAAAAATGACAAGAAACAACAACAAAAAAAAACAAGTGTAGGGAATCAAAAAATTTATTTCCTAGAATAGTGACTTTCAGACTTTTTGATTGCACCTCCCTCTCAATAATGTATTTTCAGTATAATTCCCAACATCTGTATGCTAATTATTATGCCATATACAACTACTAATAATATGTACACTAAAGAGATACACAAAATGTATATTTATAAGGGTGAGCCTAATATGTTTAACGTAGCTCTCACAATGCAAAACCATTTCGCTTTCACCAAAATGTTATATTTTCTATAATGCGTTAATATATAACATAAACATTTCTAAAATAAGTAAAATAATATTTTAATAATTTGATAAATGCGTTTATTTTATTTTTAAATCTTAACACTTTGTGATACAGTAATTTGAAGTTTGATATGTTAATTTACCTTGTTTCATGATTTTGAGTGTCATGACTGAAAAATTACCCAACAAACAAATATAGATTACAATGGAAGAACATATCTTTGGATATTCTTAACATGTCATACCACTTAATTTTCAATCCATCATTCAATGATGGATGCCTCTCTTTCTTTCCATACAAAACTAACTTCCAAGATCTATAGCTTTAACACCTCCTTCATATAAACTCACCCACTTGCTTGTGTCTATCTCCATCATATTCTAATGACAAAAGTTTGACTATGGAAAACCTCCAATGCTGATTAAATCCAACTGCTCTGTGTCTTTCACTGTTGAATATATCTGAAGAAAAACATACAACTTGTTGAAAGCTCTTACTTTAAATTCACAGCCACTGCCTTCAAGTGGATTTCAGTGTTGCTCTCGAAACAACCCACGTTTCCCGTCCATTCACTCTCCTCTACTGGATGATTTCACATCTTTAGCTTCTCTTCAAACATCTAATAACTCTTCCCCATTCACACTCTCCACTGATAACGTTGCCTCTATATTTCAAGAGAAAATAGAAGTAGGGAGGAAAGAAGTTCCAGTATCAACAACTCATTGGCATTTGTGTCCAGGTATATTGCTGTTCTCTCTTATCACTGTGGATAAATTGTCCATACACCTATCCAAGCCATCTATGAACTAAATCTTATCCTATCTTACCTACTCAGGGACATTGCTCCAACAGTTCTCTCCTTGCTCTTACATATTATGCCTCATCCATTTTACAGAAACATTTCCATCAAATGGCAATAGAAAAACATGTTGTCGTTTCTCTCATATTAAAACACAACAACAACAACAACAAAAACCTCTTTGATCTCTCATCATCATCCAAACTCCACTCATTTTTTTCTGCGCTCCCTACAGCAAAATTCCCCCAGCTTCTCTTTTCCCATTTACCCTTAAATTTATTCTAAGTTTCTGCCCTCTTCACATATGACAGAAACTAATTTTGTCAAGAACTCCAGTTTTTACCATGTTGCTCAATCTATCAGTCAATTCACTGTACTTTTCTTACTTGATCTATTGACAGCATTTGACACCAGCTGATCACTCGTCCTCCATGAAATACTTTCTTTTCTTGGCTTCCAAACATCAGACTCTCCTAGTTTCCTTTCAGACTCAACTTTTCCTTTCTATTGTCCCTTGCTTGTTCTTTCTCATTCTCTGACCTCTAAACATCACAACGCCCCAGTATTCCTCTCCATCCACACCCACTAACTTGATGGTCTCACACAATCTCACTCCTTAAAGCATCACTTAGGAACTTAAGGTTCCTAAATGTATATCACCAGAGCTCCTTAAATTTCAGCTTTCTGTATCCAACTGCCTGCTTGACACACTTACCTGGATTATAAAAAGCATCACAAACTTAACATGTCCAAAACCAAACTCATGATTTTTCCCCTCCCCATTTATTCCTCTTACATTTTATCCATATTAGTGAATAATTATCTTTCCAATTATGCAGGCCTAAAATACCTGGAGTCATCTTTGTCTCTTCTCATTCCCTACCCCATATCCATGTCGGGAACTTCTGTTGGCTTTATTTTCCAACCAAGTATCACCATCTCCACAGCTAGCACCTTGGTCAGAGGCACCATGCTCTCTTGCCTAGATGAATGACTGTAATGATCCCTTAGCTAGTCTCACTACATTTGTCCTTGCCTCTGTTTAATTTGTTCCTAGTATAGCAGCCAGAGAAATCCTACAAAAGGAAAATATGCAACATCTTTAAGTTCAAAAAGTCTTTTAAGCACTTTGCCATTAGGAAACCAATAAACTTTGGATGATACAAAAACTGTTTGTGGTTATGCCTTAATTTACACAAGGTATTTTTGAGCATTTAGCATTTAACTACCTGTATTTGTAAAATTAACCACACACTGATGGCATCTTGTAGCATGTGAACTGCCATACATTGCAATAGCCTGAAACTTGGAACTGTTTTTCAGGGTATCTCAGATACTGTGTATGACATGTAGTTATCTGAATATTATACATGTGTGGCTTCATCAATCTGAGTTGTAAATATTTCTAGGGCTTAATTTACTATTTTAAATAAAAATAAACATAAACAGAAGCTTCATTATTTTCCTTTCCCGTGCCAATAGATAACCTTGTTCAGTCACTGGGGTGTGGAAACTGCTATTTTGTTGAAAAACTTTTAGAGTCCAAGGAGCGGGGAGGTCCAATATCAAATAGTTGTCCTGTAGGTATAGATTAGGTAATGGAATTAGATCTTGACCTTTGTCTAAAACACCCTAAGGGGAAGCTAGGTAATAAAAGGTAAAGGATGGAGCCACTCAACTTTAGGGAGGCTGAGACGGCTGAGACATGTTGAAGGGAGGGTTTTTTTATGGTTATAGAATAGTTGTTTGCTTCAGGAATCCAAAGCTCTAAATAAATCAATCAAAAAAGTTAATGACACTGTCATCATCCTAATCAATTCATCTTTTCTTTCCCCAACAGACTGCTAAAGAGCCTTGTATGGCTAAGTTTGGTGAGTAACCTATCTTGCATATCTCTCTTTTACTTTTCTTAGTTTTTGATGCAAGAAGGCAGGTGTCAGTGATCTCAAGAAAACCTGTATTTTCTTCCATTCATTTTTCAGCTACTACATATAATTACTTATCATGTACTGGGCAGTTTCCCAAGAGCTGAGGCTTTCAGAAGTAAACCAGGCAAAAGAAGCCCATGCCCTGATAAAGCTTATATTGAAGGCTGCATCTCTAGCCAGGAATGAACATCTCTCTTACTGACCTATGAATCTGAGATCCAGGAATCTACTTTTAATTCTGTGTTTTAATAAACACAACAAGTTTCATATTTCTATAACCTTTCCTTAAAGTCTTTCTCATGTTTCACACATTGCTAATGTCCAGTGGAGTATACGAGAGAGTGCCACTGTTGTTTCTAAATGTATAGAAGAGCAATAAGAGTTGGAAGAGTGGCCATTTCCTTTACTCCTTTCTCTTCTAAGCTTAACTTCTGAGTCATTTTCCCTTGTAGTCACCTGATATTTGCTTAGAAAACACACCACAGTTTGCAGTTACAATGAGACTTAGACTCTTAGAATGCACGCAAAATTTCAGATAAATACATTTTTAAAAATTGTTTATAGGTTTCAGGCCAAACATACATTTTCAGTTGAGAACAGACCATTTCTAGAGTTGACTCTGAAACCCCTGTGTTCCTATATAGTTTAAACCAGTAGGTTTCCTTGGCTTGTGGGAATTAGACAATTTCCTTTTGCTTGTCTCTTTCTTTGTGTTTTGTTTTAGTTTTGCCAGTAAGTGGAATGGAATGCACGGCATGTGTGAAATTCTGCCTTGATGTGGTAAAAGTTGAGAAACTCAAGTGATGCTAAGGTGGTCTTTAAGTGATCCCCTTTCACAGAATTAAATAGGAAAGTCAATGACACCTCTTTCTGGTGACCTGCCTATTGCCTATTACATGTCAAGGAAGAAGAAATTTACTGGGCTCTGAGCTCATTGGCAATACAGGGTGACTTTGCCTTTTGTTCTAGTAATCTCTCTTTCATTCTCCCCCAGAATCTACCTGCAGAGTCTTATATTAGTCATTCATATGAATGAGAATTGAAGTAAAAATGTTACCTCTTCCAGGGTGTTTTCTCATCAAGTTTTCTTTTTTAATTATGGGACAAAGGACAAAAATTATGGAGAATTGCAGAACAGATAAGCATTCTGGGTAGTAAAAGCACCTCCTGGGTCTGTGAGATCACACTGATGTGCTAAACCAAGTAAACAAACATTTAAATTTCATATGTGCTAATGAAAATGAATGATTAGGTCTTTACCTTTTCTTTACCCTTTGGGACAGTATTGCCCTAGGGATCCTTACATTTAAATAGTCAAGTTATTTCTATTTATAAACTCATAAATTTACCATTAGCTATTTTTGGGGGGTTTATTTAATGAATCCTAAGTAGGTCTTAAATTATATATACCCACAAACTGAGGAGAAGAGTCATAATTTAGACACAAAGCACCTAATTCAGGAACATGGAAGTATCATTCAATCAATAAATATTTATGGAACATCTACCAGGTACCAGGGACATTTTCAGGTGCTGAAAATATGGGAATGAATAAAACAGAGATATATTTGTCCTAAAAAATTTTACATTCAAGGTGATACCAGATGGAAAATAAACAAATGAACAATTTAGTTTATAACATCCTAGACACTGACACACTTTAGGAAGAAAACTCAGGCAAGGTAAAAGGAGAGAGTGATAGGAGAACACTTTTTAATATAGCTTAATTAAGGAAAGCCTCACTGATAAAGTGATAAACAGCCGATGGTATTTACACAGAAAATGCATGGAAAGGCATGGACTGCCAACCCTGGTTTTCAAAATTTTGGCTTGTGATTTCTTTCTCCATCAGTCTTTTCTTCTCCTTTCTATTTCCCATGAATATTAATTGACAAGGGATGCTGAGTCACCTAACTCATTTTTCTATTCCAAATTCTTTTCCTTAGAATGCTTCAAGCAAGAAACACTCTTTGGATTTTTAATTTCTCTAAAACAAGGAGTAGATAGGTACTTAAAATAGAAAAATTCTGCTTGAAGAGAACTAGTGTAGATCAGGTAAAGAAACAACATGTACGTGGTAAATCTACAATCTGGAAAAGGATGAAATAATGAAATAACTATGCTTTCATCTTTTTTCTCCCTTGTATATTTCTTATAGGACCATTACCCTCAAAATGGCAAATGGCATCTTCTGAACCTCCTTGCGTGAATAAGGTGTCTGACTGGAAGCTGGAGATACTTCAGAATGGCTTATATTTAATTTATGGCCAAGTGGCTCCCAATGCAAACTACAATGATGTAGCTCCTTTTGAAGTACGGCTGTATAAAAACAAAGACATGATACAAACTCTAACAAACAAATCTAAAATCCAGAATGTGGGAGGGACTTATGAATTGCATGTTGGGGATACCATAGACTTGATATTCAACTCTGAGTATCAGGTTCTAAAAAATAATACATACTGGGGTATCATTTTACTAGCAAATCCCCAGTTCATCTCCTAGAGACTTGATTTGATCTCATTCCCTTCAGCACATGCAGAGGTGCCAGTGGGTGGATTGGAGGGAGAAGATTTTCAATTTCTAGAGTTTGTCTGTCTACAAAAATCAACACAAACAGAACTCCTCTGTATGTGAATTTTCATCTATCATGCCTATCTGAACGAGACTCAGAGGAAGAGCCAAAGACTTTTGGTTGGATCTGCAGAGATACTTCATTAATCCACGATAAAATGAATATGGATGACAGAGGACATGTGCTTTTCAAAGAATCTCTGTCTAAATCTTGAATTCGTGAGTGGAAAAATGGAGTTCTATTCCCTTGGAAGTTTTACCTGGTATGCAAAAAGGATCTGGGGCAGTAGCCTGCTTTGTTCTCATATTCTTGGGCTGCTCTAATTCATTCTTCTCATACTCCCGTCTTTTGAGGTCCTCCCAATAAAAAGTAGACTGATAGGATGGCCACAGATATACCTACCATACCCTATTTAGATATGGTGGTGTTAGAAGATAAAGAACACTCTGAGAACTATTGGAATAGAGGTACAAGTGACATAAAATGGAATGTACGCTATCTGGAAATTTCTCTTTGTTTTATCTTCCTCAGGATGCAGGGTGCTTTAAAAAGCCTTATCAAAGGAGTCATTCCGAACCCTCATTGTAGAGCTCTGTGAGAACTTACTGTTGGTGTGCGTGTTTAAACATTGCTAATTGTAAAGAAAGAGTAACCATTAGTATCATTAGGTTTAACCCCAGAATGGTATTACCATTACGGGATTATGTCATGTAATGATTTAGTATTTTTAGCTAGCTTTCCACAGTTTGCAAAGTGCTTTCATATAACAGGTAGCAATTCTATGAAGTTAATTGGGCAGGCATTTGGGGGAAAATGTTAGTGATGAGAATGTGGTAGCATAGCATAGCCAGCTTGCCTCAAATCATAGGACAAGTGACTACAAGAGGCAACAGGCTGTCCACTGCATTGCACTGTTTCAGCTTTAGAATTGTTACTTCTGCTATTGTGTTATAAGACTCTAAAATTTAGCAGTCACTTTTCAAGAAGCGTATTCCCCTTTAGCCCAAGGTGAGCAGAGTGAAGCTACAACAGATCTTTCCTTTACCAGCAAACTTTTTTTTTTTTTTTTCCCCCTGCCTGGATCAGGGAAACCCAGGATGCTGCTCAGGCCTTATACCAACCAAATTCCCCTCTTCACTTTGCAGAGCCCACCTTAGTAATCTTAGTCAAATGTGCTAACTTCTAAAAATAATAAATAGCACTAATTCAAAATTTTTGGTCTCTTAAATTAGCTACTTGCAGGTTCTTGTTGAAAGGTATATATTACATTGTAAACAAATTTAAAATATTTATGGGTATTTGTGAAAAGCTGCATTATGTTAAATAATACTACATGTAAAGCTATTTAAAAGAATTTTTTTTTTTTTTGTATTTTGTGTAACAAAAATTGCTCAGGAGCATGCTAAGCCTGAGGCCAAGTTGTTTCTTAGTAAGTCTTTTTTAAAAAACATCTGCTGAGTAGCTACAGGGCCAAAGACTTGGAGATCTTGTTTCTGTTGCATTTGCATATCTTCTCAGGAAATTAAAGTGTGTCATATACATATATACATGTATACACACATATAAAATCTTGGTATTCTTGATCTTTGTTGTGTTATAAGCAATTGGCAATATGTGCTGGAGTGGGCTGGTGCTAGCTTACAAGTGCATATTATTAACTTTTCAGGAATGTTGCACTCCGGTTATTAATTATAGGCATTCTTGAAATTGGCTATGGTGGGAGTATTTGTACCATGTAAATTGGCAAACACTACACATTTTCCTTTTGGACAGCTAGTTCACCAGCACACCACTGTGAAACTCTCCTTAATGACTCCTCTCTGCCCCCGCTTCATTCCTGGGACAATCATGGCAGACTAAGGTAGAAAATGAAATCGTAAAAGTTTGGCATACTGGTGATTTCTCAGGGCAAGCAGAGGTCAGTGCAGCTGCAGCTACAGGGATGACTGCCAAAAGGTGACCTTTAAATTTTCCTGGTGTCATAATTTTAGCCTTTGTTTTCAATGTATACTGTTTTCCTGTTTCTCCACATAGTAGTTTGCATTTTAAATCTATAATAAAACATGCTGATAACTGGATTGCAGCTGATTTATCTGTGGGTCATCAGACTAGAGTTAGTAATCCAGGGAACACAAAGGTACATCACAGAAATCTTTGCCCATATGAAACACTGTTTGGCAAGTGTTAAGCAGAAGTGAGAGCTGGATGCAACTGGCTTTTCATCACAGCTGTTCCCATTTCTGATGAGTTAGTCAGACAGTTTCACTTTCTGACTTTCACCTATCTCCTTTTCTCCACCCTGCCCACATTCACCATCAAAGTCATTGTGAACCCTTCTCACACTGTTTTTACCTTCCATTTTGCCCCATCAAACAAGAGCATGCTATATGACTGTGGATTAAGTCTCTGCTTGTGAAGACGGCAGCTAATTGAAAAGCGATGTAATCTAGTCAACAAAATCCTTAGATGAAGTGTATCTTGAAAATGAAGTTCCTGCCTTTGTGTTCCATCCCAATTAGGCAATTTCATTTGGGAGGACATATTTTTATTAGAGAGAAGGAGAAGCAAAAATCTGATTGATCGACAAGTTAACAGTTTAAAGATTTACATCAGGTAGAAGCTACAAATGATGCTTTGGCACACATTTACTCTTTGATCCAAAAGGATGCATGCCTATTCTAGGGTTTACTTGTAGTTCTGTAACAGTCACTCCACTGATTATGACTCTTCCATGAGTCTCCCACCTATGCATAGGAAATTTGTACACCTGCTTTGCCCCTACAAACTAAGAGAGTATGAGCCCACCTCCATGTAGCAAGATTCTCCTGTTTCCACTACCAAGCAGTTGGCCTTTTTTTTCCAGATAGATTTTCTGGGTGGGGTCAGACTAGTTCAGTATCAGCTTTAGCTATATCAGGTGGAGGCAGGCAACAGTTCTTTGTATCTCCTAATTGCAAGAAATATTTTTCAAAGCTACTTTAGAAGTTCCCTTGAAGTTCCCTTACCAGGCTTCGGGTTAGAAAGTTTCATTTCTCCCAGTTCTTCCTGCGAAAGAAAGTGGGTAAGGACTCACAGAATGGCCACAGCTCTCTCTAAGTGTTGTCATCGATACCTTCTTTTCCCTCTTCTGGCCTTTATCTTTTTTTTTTTTTTTTTTTTGACAGAATCTCACTCTGTCGCCCACGCTGGAGTGCAGTGGCTCGCTGCATCCTCTTCCTCCCAGGTTCAAGCAATTCTCCTGCCTCAGCCTCCTGAGGAGCTGGGACTACAGACTCCCACCACCATGCCTGGCTAATTTTTGCATGTTTAGTAGAGATGGGGTTTCATCATATTGGCCAGGCTGGTCTTGAATTCCTGGCCTCCAGTGATCCACCAACCTTGATCTCCCAAAGTGTTGGGATTACGGGCATGAGCCACAGCGTCCGGCCCTCATTTGATCTTTCATCTGGGTGAAATGTTTGCAAGTGAGTGGAGGGAGGGAACTTACTTCCCTTTACAAATTCTACATATTGCAGGAGGAGGAATTGTCTTACTCTCACTTTGGTAACCAGGTACCAATCATACTGTGTCTGCGCTGAAACTGTCAACAAGAGTCAGATTTTAACATTGAGTTTTACTTATATGTCTAAAGGGAATATTAAGGGCTTGTAATAAAATGCATAAACAAAACCTCCAAACCATTATCACAGAATCAATAATAAAACAGAGCTAAATGAAAGGTAGAGGGAGAAGAAAACCATTGTTTAGAAAAGTTAGACTTAAGAACATTATTACTAATTAACATAAAACATTGCTTTTAATTTCTTGATAGTCAAGAAAAATTAGAGAAAAAGTGCTATGTGTTGTATCTTGGAGTGATAGCTCAGCTACATGTTTTGAACTCCTTAAAGTTGTTTACTGCTATCACAGACCAGTAAATTAAAATAAGATAAATGTAAGAACTGGCCGGGCGCGGTGGCTCACGCCTGTAATCCCAGCACTTTGGGAGGCTGAGGCGGGCGGATCAAGAGGTCAGGAGATCGAGACCATCCTGGCTAACACGGTGAAACCCCGTCTCTACTAAAAATGCAAAAAATTAGCCGGGCGTGGCGGCGGGCGCCTGTAGTCCCAGCTACTTGGGAGGCTGAGGCAGGAGGAGAATGGTGTGAACTTGGGAGGTGGAGCTTGCAGTAAGCTAAGATCGCGCCACTGCACTCCAGCCTGGGCAACTGAGCGAGACTCCATCTCAAACAAACAAACAAACAAAAAAGTAAGAACTTTAGAACTTTAGGAGGCAGAGGCAGGCAGATCACGAAGTCAGGAGATAGAGACCATCCTGGTAAAACAGTGAAACCCCGTCTCTACTAAATATACCAAAGATTAGCTGGGCATGGTGGCACACGCCTGTAGTCCCAGCTACTTGGAATGCTGAGGCAGGAGAATTGCTTGAACCCAAGAGGTGGAGGTTGTAGTGAGCCAAGATCATGCCACTGCACTCCAGCAGTCTAGCCTGGCCACCAGTGAGACTATGTCTCAAAATAAATAAATAAATAAAATAAAAAAAGATAAATGGAAGCGTGCATTTTACTATCTTGGGCTTATTAAATCTGCTTAGAGCGCAGCACTAGGAAATAGTTTTATTCCCTTACAGAGGAAATAAAATCATTTAATCTGACTTTTTAAAGCACACTGTTTATTGGGAAGGGGAAACTTTTCCTGGTGCTGAGCTCTAAGCAGATTTAATGTGCAAGATAGCAAAATGCAGACTCTTCCTTTATCCTATTTGAATCTACTGGTTTGTGATAGCAGTCGACAACTTTAAGGAGTTCAAAACAGTTTATTTGAGCTATGACTCCAAGGCACAACACATAGCGGTAGTGGTGAACCCAATTATGTTGTTTGAACAAGTACATCAGAGGTTTTATTTGACCTGCCTTAAAGAAAGATCTTAGGAAGCGTCTGACAATAGGAAAAGAAAAATTCAATGAACAGGGTCTGTTAGATTAAAC